ATTCAGTGATTAATGAATAACTTTCAACACCTGGTTCATTAGTCTACCAAGTAAAATGCACAGGGAGCTTTACCTTACCAATGTATGTGCGCCCTCTCGTGGTAAATATGCAATAACAACCAGTTCTATGGTGATTGAGTTATCCATGTTATTCCTAAAAAGTGCCTTGATACACCCTACAAAGGAACCTACAAATTTAGATACAAACCTGTAAGCATTCATTTCTCTCTTGACCCATCTAACTCCATGGCATCCAGATTCTACTTTCACCTGTCACATCTTCTTAGTTCCCAGCTCTACCAAAATCCATTCTTCTTGTCAACTTCATAACATGGGGCTTAACAAGCCCATCTTAAAGTAGCTTCCAATATCTATCTATTAATATAACTTATAATATGATATCCTCATAATTAGATCACTTATGTATTCCATGCTTTTCAAGTACAATTTTTACTTGATAATTGGAAATTGCTTTTAAACATACAACTAAGTAACGTTTTCTACATTATTTTAAAGAGTTTTGCATCTATAAATTGTGAAATGAGAAAAGAGCTTATGATGGGGGTATTACATTTGTTTAGTTTAGAATTATTTGTAAAACCAGTACTAAAATTTCATTTTTATTTTCCTTTTCTACCCCAAATTCAATAAACCTAAAAATTAACTGATTTTTTAAAATACAATTTTCAAAACACAGTCATAAAACTTCTCAGTATGGGAATACAAGGTAGAAGCTTCAAAACTCAGTTTTTCCCTATCTATTCATCTTAATTCAGTATTGAGAATGCTTATTTTTCTAGAAATCTATCATTTTATGAAAAATTCCAACATACATATATATATATATATATATGCATATATATTTTAGTCCCTGTATATGTGGCTTTCACTCATTCCAAATTGCCAAGGTTTATATTTATGCTTCTCACTTTTATTTCTCTAGCAGTCTTTTGGGGTATCTATTTATCTTATTGTAATTCCTTGTTTTATTACTTTTTCCTCTAAAAAAAAGCAAACTTTGGATTAGTATGTATTTAATACACTTTATTAAGTTCTAGTTTTATTTATTCTGTACTTCATTGACAAGTTTTACTTTTCTTTTTTTGCATTTATCTTCAGATAGCGCAGGAGGGGGAGAGAGAGAGAAACATCAATGTGAGAGAGACACATGCACTGGTTGCCACCCACATGACCCCAACTGGGACCGGGGACAAACTGCAACCAAGGTACGTGCCCTTAGTGGGAACCAAACCCAAGACTCTCTAGTCCATGGGCCCATGATCTAATTGTTGAGCCAAACCAGCCAGGGCAACAAGTTTTACTTTTCAACTTGAATTCATAATTCGCTTATTTTTATTTTTTGTTTAATAATGCATCATTTAAAGCTATGAATTTTACTTTGAATACAGTTTTGGTTACATCTCAATCTTGATAAGTATTGTGGTTGTGATTGTTTACCAGTTAGGCAACAATCATCGATAGTTCCTCTTTGATTAATATTGATTTATTTGATTATTAATAATTCAGGTTTTATTATATTTTAGTAATTTATGTTATTTTCTTTTATTATGAATCTTGCTCAAAAATATTGGTTTATGTAAATGCTATTCTGAAGAATTTATTTATGCTAAATTTTGGTGTAAGATTTATACATTTTAAAAATCTAACAATGAATGATTTAAAAGAATCTATATTCTCTCTTCACAAAGACAGATTAAAAACTGAGAAAGATACTTTTTTTAAAAAAGTCCTCACCCAAGGATATTTTTTCATTGATTTTTAGATAAAGTGGGGTGGGGAGATAGAGAGAGAGAGTCATTTATGTGAGAGAGACACATTGAATGCCTCCCCCACTGTCAGGGTTGGGGATGGAACCTGCAACCCAGGTACATGCTCTTGACCAGGAATTGAACCCATGACTCTTTGGTGTTCCGGCCAACATTCTAACTGCTGAGCCAACACTCTAACTGCTGAGCCAAACTGGCCAGAGCAGAAAGATACTTTTAAATCTGTCATGATTGTCAGAATCTTCTTGTACATATTTATAAGATCTTTTATTCTATATATTTCAACATCATATTGTCTGAATCCTCAGGTGATAGTTATCCTATCAGTTTAGTTTTTACCTGTCAGTGCTTTGCCAATATTAGTATTGCTATGAGTGTTGTGTTTGTTTATGTCCTGACAATGTCTGCATGGCCGCGGAAACAAGACGACAAAGACTAGGTTGGGTCAGTCAAAGTGTACCACTGTAATATCAAGTAGGATTGACCCCCAAAAGAAGCCTGGGTTATGTCATTGTGGCAGAAGAGACAATGGTTCAAATGTCATAGTCATCACTAATGCATCCAATTGGAAGTTATAGAAAACATGGCCAGAGACAGAGGGGGCTAGAGCTGGGTGAAGGGGCGTACGGGGGAAGAGGGGATGGGGAACATCTATGATAGCGTCAACAATAAAAATAAATAAATAAAATAAAATTTTTCATTGTGAAGAGCATACAATTAAGCAGATGTCAGTATATAATGTGTCCATTCGGGGCCTCTTCCAAAGGAGCAGAATCAAGCAGATCACAGAGATGGGCTCTATGGATGACTACCATTGCATTCTTAACTAAAGAAACAACTATATATTAAAGGATCATGTTTGAATCCAATTTATTGTGTTTGCTTTTTAAATTATAGATAAAGCATATGAAGAAATAGGAAAAACATTATATGCGAAAATAAACTATTATTTTACTAAATTACTTAAGCCAAAATAAAAATCAAATGACACAAATGTAAGTTGTGAAAAGCATGAATTTCAACAAATTTTAAGACATAAGCATTATATAAATAAATATATGCATATATGACATATATTATGTTACATGTATATGTTCCGCAGTATTGATTTGCATAGATTAAGCATTATAAAATAAGGTTTGATTTATAAACTCTTCCAGAATTGATCTCAGTCTGATGGTTGCCAGAGGGGAGGGGGTTGAGGGGGTGGGTGAAAAAGGTGAAGAGATTAAGAAGTACAAATTGGTAGCTAACCAATAATCACAGGGATATAAAGGACAGCATAGGGAATATGTCAATAATATTAATAACTGTATGGTGTCAGGTGGATCCTGGAAATATCAGGGGGACCACTTTATAAAATATATGCTTGTCTAACCACTATGCTGTACACCTGAAACTAAAACAAAATAATAATGGATGAAAACTGTAATTGAAAGATAAAATTTTAAAAACACACAAATTAATCTTTGCCCCAAATAAAAAGTTTTTATTGTTGTTCCAAAAATCATTTATTCCTTTTCATTAATTCTACAAAATATCATTTGCTATTAAATATCATTCACTTAATAACAGTTATGGTTAAATGTATTTTCTCCCATTGTCTTCATCTTGTGCAATAGATAAAAGCAAATAGTGTAGCTGCGTTTTACTACAATTCTGCCAAAGAAAGTACTGAATGTAAATTCATATCATGAGTAAATAATGATGTATTTCACCTCATTTTAATTTCTGTAATTGAGTGGGAAAACAGGAAAATCTATTAAAAGAACCCCGTGCTGGTCAAGCACTAATGAGAACACCTCTGAGTCCCCGGCTGCCATGGTAACACGGCTCATGGAAATCTGATGCGATGCCCAGCAGCTCCAGGAGTGATGGCTCCACTTCTCCCTGTGTTGTCTCTGCTCTCAGATGGGCTTTGCGTTCCTAGCAGGGGAGAGGCGGCGTGGCTCTGTCGCTCTATGTACCAGATTTGGAATGTACCACATGCTCAAAAATTAAATTCAAACAGCTGGCACTAAAGATAAATTAGGCTGCGAGAAAATTTTCCAAAATAAAAATAAAGTAGTTCATTCTTCTCATGAGCTCAGTTTCTTTATGTCTAATTTAATTGAAAATCACACCAACATTTAAAAAAACAAAAAACCTTTTTTTAAAGTTTTTGTGAAAACATAAAAATAATAAGAGTCCCCCTAAGAATAAAATTCCCCAATGGAATGGTTTAGAAATTGCAACAGAACTGTTAGTCCCAAGGGTAGTAGGACCAGAGAGCATTAGAAAGGGCCAGGTGGGAGTGTGGAGGCGTGTCCAGGATGATGATGACTGAGAGGAGACTGGGGATTGGCAGTGGGAGTTGACTACAAGCAACTGTGGGTGGAGCCTTTTAATGTGTGTGTTTAACTGCATCTTTCCTTCTGTGTCCTTGGCCTTTACCGTACAAAAATTCAATGAATTCTGAAAATTCCAGAAGTCAATGCTTTCGGTTCTACTTTGCTCTCTTTAATACCGTGAGTGTCACTCAATTTTTGAGAAAATTGATCACTGCCTTCTGATCCTTTTTGCTAGATAACTTAATTCTAAAAGAAAAACCTGCCAGATTAACTGAGGCAAAGTAAACAGCAGCATGCGTTATTGACCAGAAATCTGTGTGTTTTGTCAGAGATTGTGAGTACAAGAAGCATTAATAACGCTGCTTCTGGGAAGCTTTTCACTCTGTTTAATGCATCAGCATGTGGACCAAGTTTTACAGGTACCAAATATCAAAAGCAATCAATCTAAAGTCAATATAACGAAAGCCAAAGGAGCATTTATCTATACTTTTCTAAATTTAGTGACGGTGAGAGGTTGCAGAGAGAAAAAAAAAAGTATCATCAAAACCAGCAAAGTACAAAGTTTCATTTATACAAGGTAAGTCCTAGAGATCTCTATTGTATTGTATACTCTAAAAAAATTGCTAAGAGGGTCGATCTTGAGTGTTTTAATGATGACGGTGATAATAATAAATAAAGTGGGTGGCAGGAAACTTTTGGAGATGATAGAAATACTTATAGCCTAGACTGTGGTGATAGTTTCAAGGATGTTGTATACGTTAAACATGTACAGTTTTTGTCCATTTTTTATGCTTCCATTTTAAAAAGCCAGGAGAGTGAAGAAACAACACACAAGTACACTGTCTGGAGAGATGAGGCTGGCTCGGGGATCGTGTGCACTGACCTGGGATGGAAGCAGCAGTCGGAAAGCCAGTCGGTGTGGCCCGATCCTGTGAGAAGCACCCTGCCTTCCGGGAGCCCCACTGCCTTCCAGACGTGGTCCTCCCCACAGGACACTAGGATCTCTTTGAGGGGGTGCATGACGATGCTGCACAAGGAGAGAGAAGAGCGTTATGGGGAGGTAACAGCGAATGCTGCAGCATGTGAGTAAACGCAATGGCAGTGGCTGCCCCACTGTGCCAGGCAGGACGGTTCACAGGGCGCTGGTCGGGGCTCAGGGGACCAGATTTGAGGTCTCGGCTATAGCTCTGACACTAACCGCTTTCTGATGGCCATCAGTCTAACTGACCCCACTGCATTTCAGATTCCTCACGTGTCAAAGGAGATGGTTGGTTTAATTGCTCTGGTCTAATTCTAATTTGAAAACAATAATTCTGTTGTTATTGATTTTTTTTTGTTTTGTTTTGTTTTGTTTTTTTTTTTTTAGGAAGAAAACTGTGATGCCAATAACATTTTGGAGTTAGGATAGTTGGACCAGTAGCCATGGTTATTATTAAGAAAATCAAAATTCTTTTTAGATTATAGTATATCTTAAGTCAGGCATTATCCAGGTAAAGACCATGAATCATAAGCACTATCACAGTCCTTTAATAAATACTATACATGAAATACTAACTTTGTGTCCTACTCTCTACACAGAGCCAAGGAGCTCACATTCTGTGCTAATATGCCACTTAAACTGGCTTCAGTCAATGCACAGTACACAAATTACGGTAATGAATTCAGGATGCATCAGGCAATTCCCACTCTGTAATGGCACAGGGGGGATGAGAAATAAGTACGTAAAAGTAACGATTAACACATTAAGCAGTATTATCTGAACCGGGCTCTGATCATTGCGGCTATTCAAATATTGGAGCTGAAGCATTCCAAAATCAAGAGTCTCCAAGGTTAATGCCTGACATTTTATCTATGGTAGTGCTCTAATCTCGTTTATATATAGTTTCAGCTATGCCTTACAATGTAATGGGAACAAATGTGCTCAGTGTTAAGCACCTATTAAAATACCAGCCTAAACACCAGCAACAAATTGGCTGGTTTCAACACAGCCATCTCACATGGAAGACATGATGCTCTTGCTGGCCGACACAATGAAGTGAAGCAATGCCTTAAAAACAAAAATTATACATTCATTTCTCCCTCAGCACATTCCCTTAATGGCCTTGTAACTTTCTTCTTCGGTAGAGACATTAGGAAATTAATTTCCCAAGGAAATCATGGTCTCGGTCCATACCTATATGGGCAGCTCCAGGGCTGACATGCGACTGAAACTTTCCTCATTATGGATCCCTCCCGTTAATACCACGTAACCTCAAAATTTGGAACTGAAAATTCATTTCCTTGCACTGGACCTACACAGTTTTGCAAACCTGCTGGGGTCAACCAGAGTGGCAGACATTCAACTCCCAGGCTTGTCAGGGCTCTGAGGGGGCTTCTTTCTAGCGAAGCACTGTTTCATTTCTCTCCAGTACTTCCCTGCTCAAAATAAACACCGTGGAAGGGAGATTTTTCATTTTGCAATTCATCATAATGTTGGTTTGTGATTTTCAGAAGGCCAATTCAGGAAAGGAATTTATTACAGCTCAAACTGGGTAGAGGATACATTTATAGAACTTAATTAGAAGAAAAATATGATGAGAGGTAAAAAATGTCAGGCTGGAATGAATTCTATATTCAAATACACGTAAGAAGGCAGCGCAAATCCTTGATGCTCCTGAATATGATGTATGCTGGCTCCCAGCCTTCCTGGCAGACACGTGCACACTTGACTAGATGATAAATTACCCTCTTTAAGTGAAGATAACTAAATCATTGATGTCTCTACGAACTTTGAAAGATAAGTTTGCCAAATGACTTTTGTGAGGGGAGCTATTTGTAGAAGTTAAGGGAAAAAAACCATAAATAAACACAAACCCATTAGTGGCTAATCAACTTTGGAAGTGCTTTTCCAGACGCTTGTCTCTTCCGATTGGGGGCCTCCTGCGTCCCACTAGCGACTCCTTGTTCCACTACCCACGGACTGATCCCTCGGATCCTTGTCCACATACTCCTTTTCTAACATAGACGCTCTTAAAAAATATCTGTCATTATCAATGTTTTATTTCTGCTCATTCTGCACAAATTTCGGTCAAACGCTGACACCTGATTCTTCAAAGAATGTATTTTACTTCATCCATGAAATGGTCCTCAAGTGAACAGAAACATTTCCGGCATGTATCAGAAGGAAATTAATGCTTCGCAACCGTCAGCCAACGAACACTTGTTATTGGTTTGGTCACTAAATAAGTGCACCAGCAAAGACTGGGCCATAGTGATGAAGATCCCCAGTCCAGAGCTGCGGCTCCCTGCTCAGAGCTCTCCTCGCGCGAGCTGACCACGCTGGAGAACAAACACATGGACCAGAAATATTTCCCCAGACACAGAAGCTCAGTGTTATTATCAACTTCCTAATGAGTTACTGGTGTCTGAACGTTCCTCCTCCTTCCTCGTCAATGAATGGTGATGATATCTAATACTGTTTGACAATTTCGCGTGCACCGGAACTGGTAGGAAATGCTTTAAAGTTTCAGCAGCGGAATGAAAGCTCACGAGGGCAGGGGGCCTGTCTGTTCCGTTTGCTGTACACTCCACCCCAACTGCCCAGGCACACCGCCATACTACTAGTTTTGTGATTTTCTGTCAAAGTAAACCGAGGCTGAGATGTGTAAATCACTCAGGTTCACATTTGTTTTTTTGTTTTTTTTGTTTTTCTTTTTTTTTTATCCTCACCCGAGGATATTTTTCCATTTTTTGTACAGAGTGGGAGGGACAGAGAGGAAGGGAGAGAGAGTGAGAAACATCGACGTGAAGGGACACATCGAGTGGCTGCCACCCGCACGACCCAACCAGGGCCGGGGACAAACTGCAACCGAAGTACGTGCCCTTAGCGGGAACCGAACCCGGGTCTCTCCGGACCGCAGGCCGACGCTCTAACCACTGAGCCAAACTGGCCAGGGCATCAGGTTCACATTTGTAATAGACAGAGGCTGACTTTGAATTCAGGACAGTTTGGTTTTCAGGCTCATGATTTTAGTTACTTCTACTTAGTAATCAATCTTTCATATTTTATTATGTATATATGTATTCTAAACATCAATACTAATTATTAAAGAGGTTGAAGATAATTATCACTCCCAGTAAATGCTTAAGCCATTTAGTTGTCGTTAATTCCCGCGCTAAAGACACCATCTAGGAATTGTCAGGGTAAGTTCTGGGGCTGGGTACCATCTGACATAATAATCCTGAAGGGGTTAGAGGACCCTGCCCTTTACAGTTAAGATGCTCTGGTGTTGTAGGAGAAACCAGGTGACAACATTCTCCTACGCTCCTGTCTACATGGGCTTCTGTGTCATGTACTTGATAAGGTGTTTAATTTGTTCTCTTGGGCTAAAATTGCAAGCTTTGTATTGCACTCCAAGTTGTCGGAGAGCGTTCCCTTTTTATTCAACTATTTTATAGAGCATGTTGTACATAAAAATGTAGGAGAATACTTAATAAGCATTGATAATTTTCCTAGTACACTGAGGCCTCAATTCTTATCCTTTTAGTTATCTCTGAATCAGCCTTTCAAAGAAGCTGAAAAAGAAGAGAAATACCAACCACTCCATGGCAGTCAATTCTTTCTCCTAACATTGCAGACATCACTCCATGTAATGGTCAGAGCACCCCTACGAGTTAAGTCTACTGTTCTCCTTACTTTGTAGATGGTGGAACTGGAGCCCACAGAGGTGAAGTGATCAGCTCAAGGTCATGAAGCCGAGTGAGGACCCGGCAGAGTGAGGACCCGGATGTGCCTGGCCTGTGCCCAGAGTCCACATCTGCCCACAGAGTGAGCTCAGAACTTCAGTTGCATTTTCCTTTTTAAGATGACACAAGGAGCAAATGCCAAGCCACAGACTGCCTTATTTCTGTCTGGCCGATCTATGGAGATGGATATTGAAGTTTCTAAAAAACTGACCCCTTTTTTTCTGTCATTTTCTAATGATGTGTGACGGGTTATAACTGGTGTCACTTGTGATTGTCTATTAGTCAGGCCCTGGCTGGGTTCAGAGGTGGTGGAAGGATGGATCAAAGATGACTGACAAAGAAGACCTTACGTTCTGAAGCAGAGCTCGGCAAACTCTTTCTGTGAAGGGCCAGACAGTGCATTTAGGGGTGATGTGGTCTGTGCTGTGGCTACTCAGATCTGCCCTTGCAGCATGAAAGCAGCAAAAGACAACATGTAAATGCATGAACGAGGTTGTGTTCCAACCCAACCTTACTTATAAAACCAGATGGTGGGCCAGATTCGACCTTTGGGCCCTATTTGTCCTAGAACCCCTTGCAAATCATTAGCACGCACGGAGCAGACTAGTGTTTAAGGCGGTGGGCTCCAGAGTGAAATGTGTTTGAACTCCTGCCCCGTTTACTTGCTAGGCATCCTTGGATAATTATTTCACTAGCCTTTGTCTCAGGATCCTCATCCGAAAAATGGGAATAACATAGTATTAATCTCATAGGTTTGTTCTGAGAATCAAATAAGTTAATCCATATGAAGGACCCAGAACAGGGCGGGCACCTAGTGAAAACTCAGTGGACATTATCACAGTTCAGAGAGACAAGGTGTCTCAGGCCAGCCTGACTAGATTTGAACATTAGCTTCCCTCTTATCCTTATTAGCTGATTATGCTGCACAGCCTCTCAGCCTCAGTTTTCTCATTTGTGAAAAGGAGGGAATTATAAAACTAATCTATAGGGATGTTGTGAGGATAAAGTAAGTGAATCTATGTAAAATGGTTGGAACAATATCTGAACATGGTCAGTTCTCCCCTATGTTCATAGCAGTGTTATTTACAATAGCTAAGATCTGGAAACAGCCCAAGTGTCCATCAGTAGATGAGAGGATATGAAAGCTATGGTACATTTACACAGTGGAATACTATGCAGCTGTAAAAAAGAAAACTCTCTTACACTTTGAGACAACATGGAGAGACCTGGAGAGTATTATGCTGAGCAAAATAAGCCAGTCAGAGAAAGACAAGTACCATATAATCTTACTTATTTATGGAC